GTTATTTAATTTCTAACGATTTTGGAGAAAGTAGATTGTTTTAGTCCTTTTTCAGAATAAGTTGCTCTTTTTCATATCTAGGAATTCTAGATTACTTTGGATTTCTGGGCCTGCCAAACTCTGGCCAGTATCCTAAGAAGAGGTTTCTTGGAATCTGTAGGACAGGCTTTTGGAATCAGTGCAAAGTCATCTGCTTATCCTTACTTCCCACTCAGAACTGCCACTACTAAGGCTGATACCCCCAACAGCATCAAAGGAGACATTTTACATTGTTAAAATCATGGACACTGAGAAGATCAGTTTCCTTGAAAAAATTTGGCAACAGACATGTTATGAGAAAAATATTCTGTGAGTTGTGAGATAAAGCAGGAGCTAGGGGAAGAGTCATAGGGGCTGTGCTTCTTCTAACTGGTGCTCTTTAAAGCAAATGGGGCAAAGGTAGTGGAGGCTAAACTCAGAACTGTAGCTTCAAAGCTAATGAACTCTTTTTTCTCTTTAATGTGTTTTTAACATTTTTATTTATGGTGGTTGCTGGTGACAGAAAATTTACATCTGTTTTCCTTGGAAACACTACTCCTTGCTAACTAAATGAAGATTCTGAATAGAAGATGATAAACGTGTATGCCTGGAAGCTTTTAGCTATTTTATTGCTTTGTTTCCAACACATAATTTTATATACAATATGCCACTTACTTTGAAAAACATATCCATGGGATAGGAAATTACTAACCACATTTTGCAGGTGAGAAAAACTAAGGCTCAAACTTGTTCAAGGTAAAAGCCACAGTCTATTCTGCTAGGTAAATGGATTAGGTTGCTGGTTCAGTTTTATTTTAAGTTTACAATTCATATACAAGATAAAGCATATTAAAAAATGGTTTATAATGATTGTGTGAATCTCAATAGATTTATCCTTAAAAATAATAAATGGCTTCAGATGACCAAATTTGCTCAGATTGAGTCTACTTGACTCATAATGTATCTGAGCTATACTATAGCTATAATAAAAATGTGGATATTATTCAAGAGATAGAACATTGCTGAACTTTACTACTAGAACAGAAAAGTAGAGTTCACCCCATCTTTTACTTCTAATAAAAGACATGGATTGTTTTTCCTATCCAGGCCTCTTCTGGAGGGATTTAGGTAACTCTAAATTGTTCTTAGACTAGATCTTCCTCTAATTAGCAATAAAATTTACTACCAACGATATGTTATTGTAATCAATATGATGGAAAATATTCAAATGCTTCATAGAAAGTTAATCTTTCTTACAAGAAGAAATTAAAAGCTTCTTCAGGCTTTTTGATTTCACTGTTAAATAACAGGCTCTATTCAATGGCTATTATGACTATCAAAAAGTAAATTTTCAGAATATTAAAATGTGTTAGTTTGAAAGCAAACAAAGTTCTCTAAAATAGAAAAAAAAATTTCCTTAAAATTATAATCAGTTAATCCTTTGCTTTCAAATGTGTCTGTTAAAATTGTCACTAAATGAGCTTTAAGATTTTGTTTTGATCAAGAAATGAATGTGACTTTCTGATCTGTATTCAACCACGAACAGCTGCTCATTAATAAAAAGCCATTAAAGTCCAACTCAGAACAGCAGGTCTAAAATTGTGTTGAGGAAAAATATCCCTTTAGTGAAGCCAGGAAACTGGATTGGGGGAGGCCTGGAAGAACTGGTCTATTGTTTAGTTTGCAAGGTTTCTTCTTTAGTTGACAAGACAATACCCAGATCCACCTGGAGAACTCTGAACTAGTTTACCAAGGCTTTGAACTGGGAGAAGCTAGTGATGTGTTGGAAACTGAGAGAATAAATTAACCTGGCAATTAGGGACTGGGCAGAGGCACAGATCAGAAGTCTCAGAGTAGACAAAATGGTCTAAACAGGGTAGGTAGAATTAACTGTACACCCATGGAGTACAGGCAATCCAGGAAGAAATCTTCCCTATGTTAAGTTCCTTATGTTCCTCCCACTTGACCTTTGCCCCATACCCAACTCACACAAGCCTTGAGCAGAGGACAGAACTTAATATCACGCATTCCCAAGAGGTGGTCCCCAAGCAAGATCCCAAATTATTAGCATCAATGATCCCCAAATATAGGATCATTCCTCAACAACTGAAGTAAAATGATTTCAAAATACCCATTTTTAGGTATTTTCAACATAAAATTTAAGTTTGCAATCTTTAGCAGGCTTTCTGTTTGTTTTACTGTTGTGTGGGAAGCAAGTTTGTTTGTGGTTAAATATATATACCACTTTTTAATTAATAAAGAAATCAAGACTAATATAACAAGTATCATCGAGGTAAAATAATCTGAAGCAAAGTGTCTAAGGAAAGAACATTCAGAAACATGTTTATGTCAGAATGTGGGTTAGGGTTAGGGTTAGGGTTAGAATTTGAAGAAATTTTGTAAACTGTGAATTATTGGAATTCAGGCATTTGAAGAGACTAAGGTTAGAGCAGGTGTTTAAAAGACTGCCTAATGGAGTTATGTAGTTACTGGAAATTTTGATACAGTAGTAGCAGTGGCAATACCAGTGTTAGCACAAGAGATAGTGCCCCTTTGCCCACTAGGGAAGATTCACTAGTTGTAGGTGAAACATGAAGGCTTTGTTAGAGAGCCTCATGCATGAGGGAGCCAGTGCAAGAAAGGAGAACATAGCATGGCCTCCAGAAGGGAGTTAGGAGAAGCAGGGAGGAGGAGCACAGTGTCAGCTTGTTCTGGCTTGGACTACACCCTGGCAAGCACAGACAGGATACATTTCAGCTATGCATGTGGGTTCTCAACTTCCTCCAGGAAATTGCGAGATACTCATTAGTTAAAATCTAACGCTTTTTTAAAAAAAAAAATATCATGGTGCCTCATGGTCAGTGTGGTGAGCCAAATTATTTGGAGAGAACTAGTGAGTCCCTAATTTAGTCCACCTGTTCAAACAGGACTTTGGGCAAATCATCCTACCAGATCGCGAAATTACTTTTACCTAGGCTGTCTCAACAGCGCTTATCTTCGAAAATTTATGTGCCAGGCACAACCCTAGGAACTTTACAAACATTAGTCATTCTAGAAGCAAACGTTATTATGGCCATTTTACTGATGAGGAAATTGAGGTTAAAAGATGAAGTAACTTATCCAATCATTCCAGAGCCAGAGATAGAAACATTTTTTTCCTTCTTGGGGAGGAAAAGGTTGTTACTCATAGAAGTATAGTACAGATTGTGTTGGGGGTACTTAGGGGAAATACTAGACAGTTAACTGGGTAGATGGGTGCTGGTAAGGGTGACAAAATAGAGGTAGTTGTAGTTTAAAAAAAAGGAAATGAAAAAAGACAGTCTGGGGAACAATTTGCATGAGCTGCTTTTAGCCTTTGACCATAAAAACTGTCTTCTTTCACCAATCGCTTTCAACTGTGAGGCAAATCGTTTTGAGGATCGCTTATCCACGAAGGCAAGGGACCCTCGCCTTTAATAGCTTGCAGTATAAAAACAAGAGCCAGGCTTCAGCAACAGAAAAGAAGGGCACCTTAGTTTGAAAGTAAGGCTAGCCGGGGCTGCACTCGAGGACAAATGCAGGGACCTGTTTAAGGCCTCAGTATCCATTTAAAGGAAATTCAATTTTAAAAAATGCACGGGAGGCTAGGTTCTGAACTGAATTCAGAGTTTCACACCCCTCGGGTGGCAGAATAAAATCCTGCCTGCCCACTTGCAAATCATGCCCAGACGGCGGGAGCTCCATTTTTTGCAATGTACACAGTAACTTCCTTTGGTTCCATCCAATACCATGGTCCCGAGGGTGGAAGGAAAAGCGGGCTGGTTGGAACGGACGCACTTTTTATAGCAAGACCCACGGAAACAGCTCAGGTGCTCCGCAACCAGGTACAGCGCACACAGGCAGCAGCGCTCAAAAAAAAAAAAAAAAAAAAATCCTACCCAGGACTTAGCCTCAATTGCAGCCTCGCCTGGCGCCGCTCGCCCCGCCCCTCGCCGCTCATTGGCTCTCAGCTCCGACACCGGCCCAGCAGACTCTCTCCTATTGGGCCACCCAGGACCTGGGGCGGGGTGCGGAAGTGAGGGCCTGGAGACAGCCGTGAACTGCCTCGCAAGCCGGCGAAGGGGGAGGAGCTGGGGGCGGGACTGGGGCGGGGTTGGGGCGGGGCTGGGGGAGGGCTTTCCGCGGAGGGGGCGGCCATGGCAGCTGCGCGGCGGCAAAGGCGGCTGCGACGGAGCGCGCGCCCGGCTTTGAATGAGCGGGGCTAGGACTGAACGGGCGGAGCGCGAGCTCGAGGAAACGACCGGCAGCGCGAGCGCGCGCGCGCCTTGTGTGCGCGCGGCCCGCGGCAGCTCGGAGCCTCCGCCGGGCGGGCGGGGAGGGGAGGGGCAGGTGAGTGTGTGCGGTTCGTGCGCGCCCGCGAGGGGCTTCCCTCCCCCACCCCCACCCCCACCTCCACTCCCGGCCTTGGGGGTGTCTTCTGCCTTTCCTATCGCAGCCCTCCTCTTCGCCCCGTACTTCCCGCCCTCCCACCTTCCTTTTCTCCCCTCCACCCGGTGCCCCCCCACCTTCTCAGGGCCGACTCGCGCTCTGGGGTACTGTTTCCGGGTCAGGGGTCAGGGGGCTGCGGCGGGTCGCGGCCGGGACTGGCCACACGCATCATGCGGGGCCCGCGTGTGGCACACTCGCCGGCGGGGCGCTGGCCCGGACCCCCGCGCCCCCAGCGCCCTCCTGGGCCTCCCAACCAGGCGCTCCCCGACCCGGGCACATTGGTCAGCCCTGCTCGCCTTCCCTCTGCAGGCCTCGGCCCTTCCACAGCAGCCTTTTCCAAAACCTAAATCCCAGTCCGCCCCGCACCTGCCTCCCACAGGTGAGAACGTGTCACAGAACGTCCCGCTTGGCGTCGGGTTGTGTAACCTGAAAACGCGCTTGCTTTTCTCATCTGTGCAGTGGGTATGATTTTTTTTTTTTTCCATCAGTCCATTCCAGGTGGGTAATCTGACGTGAAAGCATTTGACTCATGAAATTCTTTGCTTATGAGTCGTCCTGGGCGCTCTGAACGCCTCGGTGGAGTCACATGTTGGAGGGCCTGACATTTGAGTTGCCAGAGATGGTACAGAATGTACAGCTGGGCCCACGTTCCGCTCTGTCCCCTTCTCTCACCGCTGCTGAACTTTTCTTTTTTTTTTTTCAATTCCAGTGAGTTCCAGTAAATTTACTGTTGGAACGTTGTGGGATTCCTTAATAGGTGCACACGACCGAGGATGCTGAGGATCATGCATGGGTTTTTCAAATGTTGGTATTAAAAAAATCAGAAGCGCAGTCTTAGAAAAACAGCTCTTGATGACTTGTTGCAAGAGCATAGGTTTTGACTTGGCTTGTTTAAGAAATTGTGAAACAGTAACACCACCGAAAGGATCGCACCAGCAATTTACGTGGAATTACATGGAAGAAATGTACATCTTTCATGCTGCTAATATAGCATTCTTTTAAAAATATTATAGGTGAATCGGTTTCACTTGATACAGCAAGGTTGTCGTTTCTGTTGCTTTCCTAGAGAACATTTCTTCAAAAGCCCTGCCTGCAGACAGTTTGCTTCATGCTGCTGAACCCTGTTTTCTATCTCAAGTTTTTGTTGTCCTGTTAATTTTTAAGGAAATTTTAATGAAAAAATAGGTTACACTGGCACATCTCAGTTCTGGAAAGTATTTTGAAGTAACCAAAAGTGCAAGTTAGCCTCAGATTCATACTTATCAAATGTTGATCTAGAGGGTAATTCAAAATTCGCACTGAAGCAAGGAATATAAAATTAAAGTTTCTCAGGTGGAATGTGGTGTGGGGATAGCCTGGGCTTTGGGGTCAATCGCTTTAAAAACTGGGTTAGTGAATCTGAGCTTAACTCTCAACTTCATCTTTTTAATGGTAATAGCTGAACTTACTTCCTTTGTTGTTAGAATGCCAATGAGGTGATAGAACACACATAGTTTAGAACTAAGTCTTTACTATATTGAGTACTCAAGAAATGTTAACTTTCCTTTGTTCAACAAATAATTGAGTACCTATTATGTGCTTGGTATTGGCTAAGACCTACAAATACATTCTCAGCTACACTGATAGGGGTCCCGCCTCCTTAGGCCCTTGCATCCTTAGGAGTAGATATGTATCCATAGGAGCTTGTGACAGGGGTGCAGCAAACGCAGGATTTCTTTATACTGGGTCAGTAATGCTTCCCATTGCTGAGTGTAGTATTTCATATAATAGATGCTAAATGTATATATTCATTGAATTGAATTGGAATATTAAATACATATAGGTCCCAAAGAATATTCCTGTCTGCAAATCAGTACAATATTAGTAGACTCAAAATATTGCTTGATAGCTAATTTGATTTCGTCTTCTATTTCAATACATCTGGTTGGAAACTTTATATTGGAAATTATTATATCATTGAATTACTATGAATGGTTATTGCTAGTAAGGTACTCTTGGCTTTTGACTTAAATAGGTTGGAATTAAAATTATTGCATATTGGTATGCGAGAATGCATTTATGAAATCAGAACAATAATACATATCTCATAAGGTGGTTAAATGAGACAATGTTTAGATAGTGCTTGGTAAATGAATATTTCTGTTTCATTAGTCACAAAAGTAAATTTTCCATAGAATGAGGATATTCTTAATTGCTCAGGAGAGACCCACTTTCTGTTTTTCTGTCGGAAAAAAATCTAAATTTTATTTCCAATTACTGAACTCACTGGAGTTGACGCTTACAGACCAATGATATGCAACAATATTTGTGACAAGGTGATGACGGAGTTTCAAGGCTCTATATGAAATTCATTCTTGTCTCTTCATGCATTTATATCCTGAGACACACTTCTTCTAGTCCTTAAATATTAGGTGTCTTTTCCCTAGCATATCTCAATTCTGCTACCTCTGCCCCCAAGTGTCATGTTCTACAGTTAGTCTAGCTAGTTTTGTTTGTTTAAAATTTTCTGAAATTTAGGCTAAATTTTCATGTTAGGAAGTTTGCTTTCTTTTGGTCGTGAGTTTTATTCTTTACAAATGTAGCTCTGAGATGAAGGTTTTATTCATCTTAACTGTTCAAATCATTTTACTCATAAGCAATCAAAACTTTCAAGTCTTATTTTACAAATGATAGAGATACGATTCTCTGTGGAAGGCTTGTGCAGGGCAGATAAGGTAGATGGAAATAGTTACAGTACAAAGTAGAAAATATAAATACTTAGTTGTAGTGGAAATAAGAAAAAGTATGGTCAATATTAGAAAATGGTAAAAGGTCTACAGTCTACACTGTTTGGATCTAAAAGAAAAAGGAATCAAAATTGTTGCATTTTTGAAGCCTCGTAAACCACCAGTTGGAGATGTTCTTGACTGACGTATTTTGGTTACCTGAACAGTGAACTCCTTTATAATTTCCTGGTTCACTTTCTATTAGAGATTCTGTTCTTTCCATCCTCTCAACTAGTAGGCTACTTCCAGGCATATGCATTCAGTAAATCACTCAGCTCATGTGGGGATTCAACCTTCACATCTGCAGAAATACATCAGCTTTGCTGAGGAAACCTCTTAGAACCCTTTTCTATGCCTTTCTTGACCAGAAGAGTTCATTTCTGTATATCTCAGTTTGCTGGTTGAGAAAATTAAGAGGTTGGATATTATATTCAAGTTATTACAACACAGGGATCATAATTCGAAATTCTTGCTCAGTAATTTTCTACACTTGACAAATAAAAGTCAAAAAATTAAAACATGTAATTCCATTATCAGAAACATTACTCATTATTCGTGTGTATACATGCGCCTGTAACTTGTGACTTGGTTTAACATATAATCTACTCTACCTTTTTTACAGTGGAATAATGTGTTTTTGTTTTCATATATAGCTCTAGCTTTTTCAGGGCTATTTGTCAAAAAGACTGTCCTTTCTCCACTGAACTGCCTTTACATCTTTGTCAAATTCCTTTGTTTGTAAGAGTGTGGTTCTATTTCTGTACCCTCCATTCTGTTCCATTAGTCTATTTTTTTTATAGCATTTTAATTACCGTAACTATAACAAGTCTAGAAATCAGGTCATATTAACCCTTCTACTTTATTCTTTTTCAATTGTGGCTGTTAGAGATCCTTTGCATTTCCATATGAATTTTATTGTATGTGCTGACTACATGATTTTATTAAGTTTTACAGAAAGAAAGCCTGCTGAGATTTTGATTGGAATTGCTTTCTATCTATAGCTCAATTTAGGGAGACTTGATATCTTAATAACAATGAATCCTTGAGCCACGAAAGATCTTTGTAAGTTAATTCAAGTCCTTAAAAATTTTTAACAGTATTTTATAACTTTTAGTATACAAGTCTTCATCAGGTTTGTCACGAAATATTTGATTTTTGTGCCCTTACAACATTTCTTAAATTTCAAATTCAGATTGTTAACATACAAAATTACAATTGATTATAGATTCCATTGAATTTCCTGCATAGATAGTTATGCTTCCTTTTATTTCCTTTTCTTGCTTAATTGCACTCTCTAGAACTTCTACTACAGTATTGAAGAGAAGTGGTGAAAAGTGGATTTATTTGTGTTGCTTACAATCTTAAACGGGGGAAGTGTCCAGTTTTACACTGCTAAATGTCATGCTGTTACAGGTTTTTCATAGGTATCCTTCATCAGATTAAGAAAGTTCCCTTCTATTCTTAATTTGTTACAGGAATCTCTGTTGAGGTGCATATAGTGGTTTTCTTTTTTAATTTGTTAATATAGTGAGTTACATTTGATTTTCAAGCATTAAGCCAACCTACCTTCCTGGGCTAAGGCCCAACTTGCTCATAATATATTACCCCTTTATACATTGTTGACTTTTAACTTACCTATTGTTTTTTTTAAGGAGTTTTATATCTATGTTCATAAGATACTCAACTTTGATTTTTTTTCCAGTAGTGATCTGTGTTAGCATCAGTATAATGAGAATCAGAGGAGGAATTAGGAAATACTCAGTTGTCTGACAATTTGTGTAGAATTGGTATTACTTGCTCCTTAAGTGTTTGGCAGATTCACCAGTGACGCAATCTGGGATTGTATGATTTTTAACTACAAATTCAATTTCTTTAATAATAGAGGTTTTCAGGTTATCTAGTTCTTTTTGTTGTGCTTGCATAATTTGTTTCAAGAAGTTTGTCTCATCTTAGGCATAAAGTTTGTAGTATTTCCTCAATGTCCTTTTAATATCTTTAGACTCTAATAACCTCATTTACGATATTAGCATTGCTGTTATTGGTAACATAAATGTTTTGGATTAACATGAGCTTTGGATGACTGATTTTCTTTATAAAATAATCATTTTTAAACCTGCTAATATTATTTTCTCTAAATTCCATTTTCCAGCATTTGAAATAATCACTTTGACTTTTTTAAACTAGTGTTGCATAGTTTATTTCCCCCATTTTTAAATGTAATTGTCTTTATATTTAAAGTATATTTATCATAGGTGACGTAGTGTGAGATCTTCCTTTTTTATCCAGTCTACTAATCTCTGCCTTTTAATTGGGATATCAGATAATTTGCATTTAATATTTATTTATATAGTTAGGTTTAAATCTGTCTTGGTGCTATTTGTTTTTCACGTGTCCCATTTGATAATTGTTCCCTTTTCCTTGTCTTGTGATGCCATTTTTATTTAGCATTTATTTTTTATTTAGTATTTAGTATTATTAATCTCCTTTGTTGGCAAGATCACTGAATCTTGTCTATCAGAAAATATCATTTAATTGATTTACTCGGACGAGGCCCAGGAATCATTTTTTTAAAAAGGATCCCCAAATGTGTGAAACATTGGACTGTATGATTTGTAAGGTAATTTCTGATGTACTAGCTCTGTGAGTTTGGGAAAGTTATTTGACTTCTGAATTCAATTTCCTGGGCTAGTACTCTTATATTCATATGGTTCAAATTTAAAAAGGTACAGAAGACTCAGTATATACTGTCTTCTTTTTTAACTTTTAAATACATTGTACAATTACTTTTAGAAACTATTGGGAGAATAATTTGAAAAGTATTCTTTTCCTTTCTAGTACTGAAAAATCTTAAAAATATAGTTTCTTAAAATTTTAATGTAATTACCTTTTAATTTTAAGATCTACTCTGTTATATTTGTGGTTTCTAGAAAAAAGTCCAAAATCTCTGATTTTTCCCGGTTCATAATAAATAGAACGTTTCAGGTTGACTAGGAGTAGAACTTATAAAATCAACTCGCTACATTTATTTTTGTGCATTTCCACAGGTTTTGATTCCCATCATGGCTATCACACAGTTTCGGCTATTTAAAGTTTGTACCTGCTTGGCAACTGTGTTCTCATTCCTGAAGAGATTAATATGCAGGTAAACAAATTTTATGTTCAAACTGACCTGTGTCACCTTACTAGTTTTGGATACCTTACATATAACTTCAAAAAAAGATAGGATAGATTTAAGTTAAATATCTTGACTGCAGAATTCATTCATTAATCTCTAGTATTTTTTAAATATATTTTTTTCTACCTCATATCTAGAAAGTAGAGATTCAGTTCTTTTCATTCTTTCAAAATCTTATATCTTCCAGTATAGTACTAATGGAAATATTAATACTCTTCTCCAAGACACTATAAAATTTCAGATATAAGTAAGCCTTTGAGAAAAAGGTGTTCTATTATATGATGAAGGGCAGAATTAGACTTTTAGTGGTGAACTTAATTTAGTATACATAGATGTTGATTTATAATGATACATACCTAAAACTTATGTTATAATGTACTGTTACTTAAAAATTGCATAAAAATATAAACTAGCTTTCATTATTAAAATGAATTTTTATGTACATAATTATTTCATTATAAGAATGTTTTAAGGTGGGTAAGTAGTATGAATCATACGTATTTCTTTATATGCTGCAATGTGAATATTACTTTTATAATAAAGATTTCAACAATTTCCAAACTTAAGATTTTGGCAGGGTGGGGGGGGGAACTGTTAAGTAATATTTCAGAATATATAGATAGTCCATGGCAAAATAAATCATAATCTGTTTTAGTAGGATATCCAAAGACTTAAATTCCTTCTATTTTGTCATACTACTGTACCCTAGATCTATAGTTCCTAAAATGTGTACTAAGACATCCCACGACTTGATATTAAATTTACCAGGGTGCCAGAGGATATATAAAATTTTCCGTCAAAATGCACTATTGCCTGTAATAGTCAACATTTATTGAACATTGCATAAACTACTGGCACAGGTAGTTAATATTTGCAACAGTAGATCCTATAGGATTACTTTTGATAATGTTCCTGATTATAAGATAAGGTTTGTTTACTTTTGTTTTTGGTGTCCTATTTTTGATGATAAAGCTAGGTCTTTTTGGTGACCCATTGCAAAGCTAGAATTTTAGGTTGTAGTAAAATTGCATAAAGCTAAATTATACCAAATTAATGTGGAGCAGAAAATAAGTGCGGTGGTATCTAATCTGATTCCATTGTTTGAGGTGCTGTGCAGAATCCAGGAGGCACATCTTCCATTAGTAAGCAACTGCTTATTTAAGCATAAAATAAAAATACGATTTTTCTTTATATATTTTATACAGATGTGTTGCTTTTGAAATGACTACTAGGTAATTTGGACGTAAGCGTATTAAATTGTTTTTATCTAACTGCTTAATCAATGGGATTATTAGGCATTTCTTTTGGCCTAGTGGTACTATGAAAAAAGTAATGACACACTGAGTGGGATGGCATACAAGAGGAAATGGGGGTCACTCGGCACTCTTTAATGAACATGATTTAGAATTTGCACGCTATGATTCTATTTTCAGCCTACTCTCCAGAGCTTAGTCATCTGTCCACCTAGCTGCAATGAAGGCAAGGAAATGTCTTCTCTGACTAAATGGCCATTTTATAGTTATGTTAAGACTTCTGATAAGCTTTAGGTTACTATCCACAGTGTTTTCACTCATGCTAGTTTTGGTAATTCTTGAAATAAATGATTTCTTTTTTATTTTAGATCTGGTAGAGGGCGGAAATTAAGTGGAGACCAAATAACTTTGCCAACTACAGTTGATTATTCATCAGTTCCTAAACAGGTAATTGGTTTTTATGGTTGAATAAGTATTCTAGAATCATATTTTTATTAAATGTGTGCAGACCATTAGTATGTCATGAAATTATTTTGATAGTCAAGGTCAGGATTTTGTGGTGGTTATATTTTTTGGTCCTAGAATTTTCATTTTATTTTCTATATCTTTGCTGAGATGTCGTACTTTTTGCCCCACTGGTTTGAAGAGTTGGTGATGTTGTTTATTATAACTATTTTAAAGTCTTAGATAATTTCAGTGTTTATTTAATTTTGGGATTGACATCTGTTGACTGACTTTTCATGTGAATTGAGATTTCTTGACTTTGTTTGCTGAATGATTTTAGGTAGTTTTGTGGACTTTTTGAATATTTTCTTTTGAGACTTCATTTTCTTCAAGTCCTATCAAGAATGTTGTGTTTTTGTTTTAGTAGACAGCTACTCTGATTAGGTTATTTATATCACAAGTTCCAGTCCTCCTTCTTTGGGCTGGAGTTACAGTGATAGTTCATTTTGCAAATTATTTTCTTTTGTTTTGTTTTTTCTTTTCTTTTTTTAGTGGATCAAATAGAATGTCTAGTTCATTGTAGAAATATTTTTTTAAGCCTTTGGTCTAGCTTTGGTATATAATTTAAAAAATGTTTATTTTGTAGTTGGTCAAAGACGTTTGAAAACCGCTGCCTTAGAAAGCCCATTTTTCTAATAAATGATTTATCAGATGTTAATTATGTTGCCCCTTTGTGGCTTACAATGTGATCAATTAAATTTAGACAGATGTTGAAGAATGGACTTCCTGGGATGAAGATGCACCCACAAGCATAAAGATTGAAGGAGGGAATGGGAATGTGGCAACACAACAAAATGCTTTGGAGCAACTGGAACCTGACTATTTTAAGGATATGGCACCAACTATAAGGAAAACTCAGAAAGTATGTTATTAAAGATTTGTGGTCTTGGATATTAAACTGTTAAACTTTTTTTTAGATTCTTGTGTTTAAAATTAGGCAATAGTGTTAATATTTGTTTGAGAGCATATTATCACTTTGCTTTTGTTTTCTGGTATGAAGAAGTTGTTATGTTCAGGTGACCTAGACATAGTAAGTTGTATATTTAAGTCTTTTAAAATTATGTTTAAGTATTCACTGAAATCCTTACAACAAGATTCTACACTCTTTTCTCTGCTGTGGAGACTAAGATGAGTAAGATAGAGTTATAACCTTAAAAGAGTCTACAAACTGATCATTATTGTCAGAAAAGTCATGATGCAGTTTTTCTATTTTTCTTCCTCTTCTACCTCCCAGCTAGTTTTAACTGTACATTTATTTTTATATTTCCAATTGTGATAACATTTCCATTCTGTAATCATACTGTTTTTTGTTGAATTGTCAAAATGTCTCAATGCTGAAAGACAATAAGTTGTGTATTCTTAAAGTTGTGTAACTTTATATGAGTTTCATAGTAGATGAAAACCTTTTATTGTGAAAGTATATTGCTGCTCTCAATAGGAATCCAGTATATTGTAATAGTACCATAATAAATTAATTAGCATGAAAATGCCTTTATGCAATAAAATTAATATTATTAACCTGAAAGAGTTAATGCATTCATAGGCATCGACATACTTAGAGAATTGGTTATGCTTTTGTAGAACATGATAAATGTTCTTATTTAATACAGTGACTAAAAGTGCCTAATTATATTTTAGGGGAGGAAGATAAGAATTTTTTTAAGTGAAATGCAATTTTCTCAAATATATAACTGATTTGTGTGACAGATACCTGGGAATTTGGTACTCTTTATAGACTATTTTAGTTTTTACATTGTAAATTTTAAAAAGAAAAGTAGAGCATATTTTAAGTAATTTCAAAATACTTTGATTAGTTAATTATTTTGTCTTTTGATATGTAAAATGTTTTTATAATTTGTTTCAATTAATCTTGCAGATCATTATTAAGAAGAGAGAACCATTGAATTTTGGCATCCCAGATGGTAGCACAGGTTTCTCCAGTAGATTAGCAGCTACACAAGATATGCCTTTTATTCATCAATCTGTAAGTATGCTAATGGTATAGTTTCTAGGGAAGGACCTTTTTTGTGTGTGTGTTTTCTTTTCTCTTCAAAGAAGAAAAAAAACAGACCGAATTTAACATTTATTTGTATTTCTGTGACCTTGAAACAAGTTTAGCACTTTAAGAGAGACTGATCTAAAGTTCTACCAGTTCTGTCAGTTTTTGAGATTATAATATACATCAGATACTAGGATTAGTAAACAATTGTACAAATAAAAATTAGAGATAGAATGTTATATAGAAATATTACCTTCAAACAGATTAAAATGTGAAATTTAACCTTAAAACATCTTATTTCTCAGTGAATTATGATGTGTTTTCCTAGTAAAATTTACTTATATTTAAGTGTGATTTGACTTGAAATGGGTGACTGAAATACAGTATTTTTTTTTTATAAAGATTTATTTATTTATGCCTACAAGAGCTGGGGTACAGACCAGAGATGCGGGGGGTTGAGAGGATTCACTAGAGACAGAATGGGGAACAGAACAGGCAGACTGACTGAAATACACTACTGAGGGGAGTAGTGGGCGAGACAGGAGAGGTCTGCCTCGCCATGTGGTTTGCTCCCTGGCCGGCCAGGGATCGATCTCGTGCTCCAGAGGCTGAGGATTGCTTCATAGTGCGGTGTTTAAACCCTTGCACCATCAGGGAGGCCAGGAATGCAGTATTTTTAAAGACAAAAGTAGTAAGGAAAATATATAACTGGTTCCCAACCTTAGAAGCATATCAGTGGATATGCTTTGGATTTTTAACAATGTCCAGATCCTTCCAAGACCTAAGCTTAAGCATGCTTTAAATCATACTTGATTGTATTGTTATCTGTTGTTAAATAACAGCACCACTCTTGAGTTTCCTTATGACATAACCACTGACTTTCCCAGAACAAATGATAGAGATTACATAAGGCCAAATCCTCAATGCCTGTTTATGACTTAGACTTATAAATGACACACTGTCCCCTTCATGTTATTTTATTAATTTTATTAATAAAATTAATTTTATTAATTTTGTTATTTTATTATTTAGTGATAGCTCTAAATCCAGCTCACAAACAGAGGGAGAGGAATTAAGCTCTAGTGCTTGAAAAAAGGAGTCTCAAAGAATAGGCAGGCATAGTTATAAAACACCAAGTCTATCTGTCTCTATATTATTTATTTGTTTAAACCGCACAGGTGCCTGTTTATGTAAGTTTTTAACTTATTGATCAGCAGCTCTTACAACTAACACCAGTCACTGTGTTACTAGTAACATAATGGAAAGTAAGCAAAACAGACCCGGTCCTTGCCTTGGAAGCAACATTTTAGTGAGGGAGACTAGTAAGTAAATGATTGCACATGTAGCAATTACAAGTTTTGGTAACTCCTATGCAGTTATAAGATGTTTTGAGAGCACAGCTTTTTCTCTGAATAGCATCATAATGCTTATATTTTACTTTATGTTATTCTTTACTTATATTCTAAATTTTAGACTTTATTCATACATGTTTCATCTATGTTGGTAAAGTGGGTCAAACCTGCTCAATGAATTAGCAGATGTTTGCCCCTAACTATAAGTTACTCTAATGCTAATGTAGCTCATTATAAAATTGTAAATATATAACCACTTTCAGAGTTGTCAAAGGGGTAAATAGGACAAATGGTATTTCCACATATTTTCCTTCCAAACATGCATGATAAAGAGGAATTACATAGGTGAGAATGGTCACCTGTTGCAATTTTTTCTGTACACCAAAAATACCCTCCACCCGTTTTACAAATTACATTCTTTTAAACTGCACTTTATACATTTTTACTGGAATTTATTATTTATATTACTGTGAGATATCTTTTTATGTTAATATATTAATTTTCTCAGTTTTTCATAATTTTTCAGTTTATTGTTGGCTTTTATAATTCGTTTGAATGTTTTTTGATAAGTAGTATACTTAGTTTTTGTGTCGCAAGTCTATCAGTCTTTATCTTTTCTAACTTTTTCTTTTTTCCTTAGGAGGCAGTCTCTGCTAAAGTATCAGATATCAGTCTTTTTTTTTTATGGTCAAAGTAGTGTCACTTTTTTTGTATCTTCATTTTGATACACTAAAAATAAAGCTCCTTAGTGGAAAAATGGATATGTAAGAAAAGACATCCTGATACGATGAAGAAAAATTTGATCTTATTAGTCCTGAAAGAAATTTGGAGTAAAATAACAAGACGTAATTCTTCAATCTTAAGAAATATATTCTTTGCAAATATAGCAAAGAAGGTCATTATCAGTTTTGGCAAAGGGTAGAGATAACAAGACTTTTACTGTTGTCAGGAAAGTAAGTTGGTATGGCTTTCAAGAGGATCATTGTATTTTGTTTCAATGACTTTGAAAAATCCTCTTTGATTTAGCTATTCTACTTTTAGAAATTTACATTGAACAGATATTTAGCAATACTTGTAAATTTTTAGAGGATGATATTACACTTAAGGTTAGGAGGGGAAATCAATGTATTTTATTTTACTCTTAGATATAAGCACACAAATGAGAATATAATAAATCTGTTCATAGATTACTACCCTTTATGCTCATATAATTTCCTTACCTCAATAAATGTTTTAGATTTAGTATTTTCATTGGCTTATGGGAGAAAAAAGTAAATTTTTAGAATTCTGGGCTGGAGAATAGTAGTGGCCAAACCATTGCTGTCAAGAAGGTAAAACAAGCAAAAGGAAGCACAATATAGAGAAATATTCTGATGACAAGTAAATTTGGCTGATTGTCATTGTTACCTGGTACTCAGTACCACTGAAATATCTGTAAATTATTTAATGCTTATGTGAAGATGACTGTGCTAATTTGGAGGCTTTGTTTCTCTCAGTTTATCTTTTCAGCATAGTGTAGTCCCATCAAGCATATCTGTTCAAAAATCTGTCTCCTTCCCTACCTCCCACCCCTGCCACCTCTTCCTTTACTGAAAAGAAGGAGAAACAGAAAGAAGTGGTCTGTTTATCCATTCTAAACTAAAGTAGACCAAAAAAAAAAAAGAGAGAGATGTATCCTTTAAAATATAAAATAGGAAGAAAACTGTACTTGACAGGACTGTCGAGTATTGAAAGTACTATAGCGCAGGAAACCCCTCCAGTTCCAGACAAACCTGGGACCAAACCATTTGGGCCACATGTGGGGAGTGATAAGGAAGAGAGGACATTTTAAAAGATTCTCTTTTTGACTGCTAAGAGGAAAGAGGACAACTCTTTACATAATTTTGTTTTGTGTTTTGTTGTAGCCTGAATTAGGGGACTTAGATACCTGGCAGGAAAATACCAATGCATGGGAAGAAGAAGAAGATGCAGCTTGGCAAGCAGAAGAAGTTCTGAGGTACTTGAGTAATATTTACATTACAACTCGAGCACAAAAACTAGATTTACTCATGCTGCCTTTAATTAAGATCAAGAAAGCTTACTCTACAAAATATTATTTTTCCATTTTTTCCTCATTTGAACATAAGGTAATATGGGATACTTCTTTTACATTTCAGACTGCATATACTATTTTATCAAATAAGAGTCTCACCGATTTTTTTTTTTTAGTTAGAGAAATTTGTTTCTAGTTTGTAATGCTAATATCTGCAAACAAACATATAAGCATTAGTATTTATGGACATCAGCCCTTTGTAATGTGGTGGTAAAATATAAAATTATTGTATAACTGCTGTGTAACTAAATTGCTGTTGCCATAAAAAGAATGATGCCTGGCTATTTTGAGAGTTTATTCCAGACTTTTTCTCTGGTTAGTTAATCTCTCCAATTCTAGGTGTACTTTTTTTTTTTTTTTAAGTTTTTTGACGTAACACTGGTTTATAACATTATATCAGTTGCAGGCATACAGCAGTGTAATTCAGTCTCTCTGTACTGCTCGAGCACCCCCATAGAATTGACTCCCTTTACTCTTTTAACCTAGCCCCTAAATATCCTCCCTTCTAGTATTCCCACTCTGTGCTTTGTATCTAATAATTTGTTTTGGCTTTGTTTTTGTTTATATTCCTCAGATGAGTGAGGACATATGGTATTTGTCTTTTCTGCATCTGACTTATTTCACTGAGCTTAATACTCTAGGTCCATCCATGTTGTCACAAATGGCAAGACTTTAATTTTTTTTTTTTTTATAGCTGACTCAACTTTTGTGTATAGGTATCTGTACTAAATCTTTAGCCATTCATTCATTACTGGACACTTGTTTCCGTGTCTTGGCTATTGTAAATAATGCTATAATGAACATAGAGGCGCATATATCTTATTAATGGTTATATAGTCTCTGAATAAATACCCAGAAGTAGAATAACTGGATCATATGATATTTCTGTTCTTAACGTTTGAGGAATCTTCATACTGTTTTCCATAGTGGCTACATTCCCATCAACGATGCATTTCTCCATACCCTCACCAACACTTGTTTCATGTCTTTTGGATAATAGTAATTCTGACAAATGTGGAAAAACCTCACAGAATTTAGAGTTAAGAATTTAAAGCATTGCAGGAACAAAAGATAATAATTTTAGGGCCTCCCTGTTGGCTCAAGGGGTTACATCTCAGCACTATCAAACTATCAGCAGCCACTGCAACATAAGTTGAATACCCAGCCAGGAAGCTGACCCACATGGCTCAGAAGACATCTCCTGTACCTCCCACTGCTCCCTTCAGGAGTGTGTTTCAGTCAGTCCACCTGTTCTGTTCCCCACTCTGTCTCTGGTGAATCTGCTCACCTCCCCCCTTTCCCACCCCGCACCCCTGGCCTACTCCCCAGCTCTTGTATTTATAAATAAATAAAACAAATCTTTAAAAAAAATTTTATTGCTGGAAGATGAGATCTTTTATGTATATATACATCATATAGCATTATATGCTTTATACCTCACTCCCTACAAAACTTTAACTAGTCTTTTGAAATGTCCTACTGTAAAGTGTGAGCCACCACTATGTATTTTTCTGGTTCAGATATTATGCCTTTACTTTTGTTTGCCCTGTTTTAGCATAGAATCCAGACCTGCACATTTGAGTGAATGTAACTTACATAGCATTCTACATTTTTTATATATCTCAATCAAGATACTTGAAAGCCCAATGAGGTAAATAATATAAGTCAGGAGCTGCCCATTATACTTAAAAGAATATAGTATTCTACAGGTTTTCAAGTTCATTTTTGTTGGTTGTTATATTCATATTTCTTTGGTTTTGTGAGCAATACACTGAATTTTTGGGACTGCTGCAAAAAAAATTATCTTAGGAAAATTTGTGACTCATCATTGATGAAAACTCATATTTAAATGTATGTAAATTATTTTTGTATTTTAAAGATAGTATAATGAGATACATTGAGATATATTTATTTTTCATTTTTTAAATATTGGTTTTATAATAGGGATAGAAAAGGAATTCCCTCTAACTATATAAATAAAAATAACTTATTTTTTATATTTTTCTTTCCTCTTTATCAATAATACATTACCCTACACAGCCAGCAGAGGGTGCAATTAACTGGAAGTTCTGGCTGATTTTCAGTTTTAATCTTGTCCTTTCTGTTTTCAGCATTTCAAAAAATTATTTTTGAAATAAAATGTTTCATTTATTTAAAGTTACTATTTTTTATATAGTATTTGCTTTTTCTTTAAATTGGAGTAATAATCAGTTTGAGTTGTGCATCCGTAGAAATCAGTATCTGTGTATACTTGCATTAAGTTCACTACTAAAAGACCAGCTTTATTCTTCACTATACAATTGACCCTTTTTCCCTGATTTAGCCACCTTCCTCCTTCCCTTCTGGTAACCACTAGTTTTTACCAGGGAAGGTGCCCTATTTTAAAAGTTAGGAAAATTGTGAGAATCTTTAATAATTTCTATTTGATCATATGGAGTCCATATGCATCTTTTAACATTTACTGTACAAAAGACTTCTTTCCCCTACTATCCTCTTGCATCCCTGGTAAAATAAAACAAAAAAAAAACCCACTTTATAAAACCTGGAAGCAACCCAAATGCCCCAAAATAGATGACTGGATCAAGAAGATGTGGCATATATACACAATGGAATATTATTCAGCAAACAAAAAAGATAAACTCTTGCCATTGCAATGTGATGGAACTAGAAGGAATTTTGCTTAGTGAAATAAGCCAGAAGGAAAAGAAAAATATCGGATGGTTTCACTTACAGCAGGAATATAGGGAAACCAAATAAGACATCAGTGTAAAAAAAATAATAACAGTACAATACACAACAATGCAAAACGGGCAATTATAATTCACGAGGGAGGAGCGCAGGGGACTGAGGTGATGATGCCTGGGTGCATTAGTGAAGGAAACTATGAGGGCTGCACCTGAGGGAGTGGGGGGAAGCAAATATTGTTTAAAAATGAACAATGAGGGCCTCCCCGGTGGCGCAGCGGTTGAGCGCTGGGTTGCAAAGCTGCCGGCGACCTCTGCGGCGCCGGTTCGATCCCCGGCTGCTCCCCGGCCACTGGAGGAGGGTCCCACATGGCGCGCAGACCTCTCCTGCCGCCCGCTGCTCCCCTCAGCGGTGTACTTTGGTCCTTCTGCCTGCTCTGCTCCCCGCTCTGGCTCTGGTGAATTCTCTCACCCTCCCGCGCTTCTGACTGTGCCCAGTGCATGTATAAACAAAACGAACGAACAAACAAACAAATAAATAAAAAAAAAAACATGCCTCTATAAAAAAAAAAAAAAAAAAAAAAAATAAAAATGAACAATGATGTAAAAAAAAATTAATATAAAAAACCCCAACCTTAACGTTTGCATTATATGACTAGTAAAGAAGAGAGCTTATAAGTCAGAAATAGAAATGTTTCATGCTTTAAGTTGCATAAATACAGACAAAGAGACTTGAACACTTCCATACATTGCTACTGCTCCAGATAAACACCATACTCCATATTTTTAATTCCTCCTGTTTTTCATGCCACTATAAAATATTGTCAGTATTATGGTCAATATTGTTAAAGAAGATGGATGATTTAGTAATTTCAGGCATATGTTCAGGGAAGTTGTATTTTGTCTGCAGTAATTTCTAAGTTGTTTATTTGTTTGTTTTGGCCAAGAATGCTAACTCTTGATATTTGTATTACAGCTAGTAATAAACAGGCCAAATGGTGATCTTACTTGTTTGTGACCTACCTAATTTATCTCTTTATAGTTCTTTTCCAGTCTCCATTTCTTTTTTTTTTTTTTATAGAGGCATGTTTTATTTATTTATTTATTTGTTTGTTCATTTGTTTTGTTTATACATGCACTGGGTACAGTCAGAAGCGCGGGAGGGTGAGAGAATTCACCAGAGCCAGAGCGGGGAGCAGAACAGACAGAAGGACCGAAGTACACTGCTGAGGGGAGCAGCGGGTGGCAGGAGAGGTCTGCGCACCATGTGGGACCCTCCTCCGGTGGCCGGGGAGCAGCCGGGAATCGAACCAGCGCTGCAGAGGCTGCGGGCAGCTTCGCAACCCAGCGCTCTACCGCTGCGCCACCGGGGAGGCCCCTCCAGTCTCCATTTCTGCCACTGACCTTTTGACTTTTTTTTTTAAGTGCAAATTATTGGTTTTGCTTGAAAGAGCTGGTAAAAAGTAGATTTTCTCAGAACCATTAATTAATATTCAAGGTCAAAATGTCGCCCAAAGTAAGTCTCTACTCTCTTGAGTTATGATCATCCATCATTCTGCCAACTCAAATATATAAGTGTGATTGAGACTGTATATAGGAGTCATTTTCTATTGTCAGCTTTGAGGTATCCCATACATAGATAATCTACACTGGATTTTTCTATACATAACCTAGTATTGCCTATCCTGTGCCCATTTGTCACCTACGGTTTCTTCAACTTGGATGCTGCTTGACTTATTTTCTTGTTTTTTAAAGATTTATTTATTTTTATATAAGAGCTGGGGTGCAGGCCAGAGGCGTAGGAGGGTGAGAGGATTAACCAGAGGCAGAGCGGGGAGCAGGACAGACAGACAACAGAAATACACTGCTGAGGGGAGCAGTGGGCGCGACAGGAGAGGTCTGCTGCGCCATGTGGGATCCTCGCCAGCTGGGCGGCATCGAACCCACACTGCAGTGGCTGCAGACAGCCTCACAGCATGGTGCTCAACCCGCCGTGCCACCGGGGAGGCCCTTGACTTATTTTCGCACACCCTAAAGCTACAGATCAGGACCAAATCATGTTCCATTTTGTTTGACCAATTGCATCACTCCACTTCTGCTCATACTCCCACGCCCCAAAGAAATAAATCAATGGAGGCAGTAAGATTGGGTGGTTCTAGTTCAAGAGAGCCCTTAGAGAAGGGCTAAGAAGGGGCTAAATATTCCATATATGTGTAATTAGTAATTAACCCACCACTGTCTCCCCTCACTAGTAGAGCTGGTCAAATGTTAATCCTTAAATAGATTTCTCGCTTCTAGTTGGAAGATGTTTCTTAAGTTTCCATTTCCTTTTTGTATTGTATTCTGTACAATTATATTTTTGGCATCCTTCTACTGACTGTTTTTAATTATTGTAATAACAACAACAGGAGATATTACCCTCAATAGCAGGCCTTTCTGAATGATATAAAAGAAAGGTTATCATCTGATAAAAGTACTGTTTTAGTGAAAATAATCTGGAAAACAGAGTGAGGAAATGTGACTTGTTATCCTTGAACTTAATATGAATTTAGGCAAATTGCTTAACCTTTATGTCTCATTTTACTTATTTGTAAAGTGGAAATAATACTGATTCTACTTTTGCAAGTCATGTTAAGAAATGCTGTCTTGAAATGTTCAAAACAGTGAGATGGAGACATTTTAAACTTTTATTTGATGGTAGTAAAAAGACACAGCTATTTCTTCCTAGAACTTAGTTGCTGTTTCACTTGGGTGGCATTTTTAAAAAGTAAAAAATAGGAATATGTTTCTTCTCAGGCAGCAGAAGATAGCAGACAGAGAAAAGAGAGCAGCAGAACAGCAGAGGAAGAAAATGGAAAAGGAAGCACAGCGGCTAATGAAGAAGGAACAAAACAAAATTGGTGTGAAACTTTCATAACAAATGTTCTTCAAATGTCAGTGCCAGTAGGAGAAATGTGAGCTCCACAACCCAAGCAACATTTGTATGGCTCTAAGAGTATTTTCAGAATACAAACACACTACCAGATTTTAATTCATTCATCAGATGATCCAAGATACCAGGATTTCCTGAAAGTACCTCGAACTTTTAGTGATTGAGACTAAAAAGACTATGAGACAATATTTTCTTCAACATGCTCCAACTGTAAGACAATTGTTTGCTGCGGAGAAATTATTACAAATGAAATATACCAGTACCTCTTCAAGCTAGTGATTCTAGCTAAACAAAAGGGTGTAAATAATTTATGGTAGGAAAGAACTCTGCTGTCTATAATGCTTTCCTTCAATGTGCATAATGATAAAATAAATAATTTTAAATATCCATTTGTTTCCATGATTACCTGATCTAAATCAGATAGACTTACAGGGCTTTAATTTCTTTATTTTTGTGTCAGAAGCCAATCTTGTCATGCATTTCCTCCAATTTGAACTAGTATTATTTGTTTGATACAACGTTAATCATTAATTTGATGATTTTGGTTTTCTAGAAAATGGCATTAAATGCAATAATTTTATTTATCATAAAGATTTTATACATCATTGTTTTCTTTTAGATGATGGTATAAAGTTATATATATATTTGTAATTTATGTTGCATGTATAGACATTGAAAATCAGTTAAAATGACAAGTTTGTTATAACTTGTGAGTTTTAGAAACTAGTATAAATAGTTTTTCCCTTTTGCTGTAGATTTTAAAATGTTGTGGTATCATTAAGTAACTTAGGTCTCCCTTCCCCCCATGCCATTAATTTACAAATGCAGAAAGCCTTCAGATCTAATATTTAAAAACTTATAGATCATTCTGTATCAGTTACGTATGTCTGATAAATGCAGGTTGCCTGTGTTTTCGGCTTAGATTACATTGATTCATTAAATTATAAACCAAGATAGGAATATTTTTATTGTTGGGTGTTGGCTAGCTCCAAAATAGTTTTAAGGAAATAGATGCACACTGTGTTTTAAGAAAAAGTGTAGATTTGATAGCTTAAAATCCCATTAATTTTTTTCACCACCGTTAAAAGACATCTAGCCTAATTTTGTATGGCTTTAGAATTTTTAAAGATTTTTACTTCCTTAAAAGATGTTGCCCAAAATTAACTTTTTGTGGGTTTTTTAAGTGCTATGCTTTGCAGACCAAGTGTTGCTGTTATATATGAGTTAAAGTGATACTTCACAGTAAAATCACAAACTATACAATAAGAGTGCTCTTTCTCTCCACTCCTTAGCTTGAGCTTCCAGACTAAATGTGATTGTGAATTCCGGTGAAATTTAACTGGTGAAAAACTTCTTGTTCTTATAGTCACAGGCCACATTTTTCAGTTGTCATGTTTAGAGTGTTTCTGCCACTAAACTCCCAATAAATAGAAGTAGACTCAAATTTTTAATAATAATTGTATTTATTTTTAGTTATTATGGAAATGCTACATGATTTCTCTAAATTGGGGGTTCATAAAGATAATCTCCCTTTTAGTACAGCAAAATTGCATCACTTCCCCCCCCATAGCTGACAAGAATTGAAATCTGCTTTGGTCATGATTTTCATGTGTGTGAGATTTTGGGTTTTGTTTGTTTTTTGCTTATTTAGAAATAAAGATTGGTTAGAAATTATAGTTTGTATGATTAATAGGAAGAAAGATATTTTCCTTTGGAAAAAATAGATAACAGTTTTGGGATTTTTTTTCAATCTTTGTTGGTATGTAAACTAAATTCTTGTATTGAACAGGGTATATTGTCCCGAAAGAAGTCGCGTGGTTAAATACATGTTAACACTTAAAGGTAGCAAACTCGTTCATTTAGCTCCTAAATTTATGGTTTCTGTTTTTCTTAATTTTAATAAAGAATTACCAGCTTTAGCAGGTTAGGAGGAGTGAAAAAAGAAATGATTAGGCTTAGAAAAAAATAGTGGAGTCCTATTCATTATATGAATTGTGCATTTCATGCACTGAGAAAACAAAGACATGTGAAACTTTTTTTTTTTTTTTTTAAATACATTTCATGGTTTCTAGCCATTTTCTCTTGTTAAGCTTTAGGTAGGAATAGCCTCTAGTTGACTCTTGACTTTATTAGTAGCATATTTAATTGAGTCGACGTTTTAGAATTGACAGTTACTCATTTCTCAGTTTTGACATGTTCTTGTGTTTGGCCAGGCCAGTGACTATTCCTGGATGAATTGGTAGTGAGGAAGAAGGTGGTAACTATGGAAGCTGGCACCTAGATTGAGCTTTCAACACCACCTTACAAGCTACCATTGTAGTGTGACTCTAACTATATGGCCAATGCTCCAAAAGCCAAAATTTGGTCAATGATGTATTTACTAAAGGAATGATCTGGGCCAGAGATAGCTAACATGTATTTTGTCTAGTCCTGTGTAGATCAGCTTTAGTATTACCACAGTGATTTCACACTTTAGCCTCTTAAACAAAGAAGTCATCATTAAGGTGTATAAGCAAATCACAGTTACTGAGATGAGTGTTTCTTGAAGTTGAAGTCAAGTTGATGGTCAGGGTGTGCTAGGGTATACAGGTTGTTTCAGGGAAGGAGCTTCTCCCCTCTCAGGGGAATTGGAGGACTGAAGAAGATAGTGGGCTTCTTTTAAATAGCTAATAACTTCATAAATTTGTTTCTGCCATTTACGTAGATTTTTTTAAATTTGAGTTGTTCTAACATCAAAGAGCTATTTTTCTTTGTGCAATTTACTTTTCTTTAATACAATGAAGACTGCTCCAAGGTAACACAACAACAGTTTTATATTTAACTTTTTCATTTTGCTTCCTACTTTTTATTTTCGGTGCCCCTTAGTCATAACCTTTGTGTGGTTCAGTAACCAGCATAAATTTTGAGAGTAATAAGATGTTTTTTTTACCAGAAGCCTTAATCATTTAGGGCTGGAAAGAGACCTTATTCTTGGCACCTTAGATTTCCCTGCACTTCACAAAAGATTTCTACTCTTGCACTCTTGCTGCTTACACTGCTAATCTACAAGTAGAAGTTTTTGCAGAGAAACTTTGAAAATCTGTGGTCAACCAAAATAATCTCAGCCTTCTTTTTCAGCAGGGAATGTCCATAGCTATTTATGCATGTAGTTTTGCCTATATATGTTAATCTCATATCTGTCACGAGAGCTCAAGAATTCTCAGGGCTGCTGCAGAAATGGTGCAGTATTAAAATTGCCTGAGTATGCAAATCTTTTAAATGAAGATGAGGGTTTTAAAGATTAACTGAGACACTAAGTGTTCAGTATGGTGCCTGGTGCTTACATAAGCAATCAGCAAATGGTAGTTGTTATGAGACCCTGTATACTTCTTTATGAGCCTGTACCCACTTCTCCCACAACTTACCAACTTGTTATTGGAAGCACCTTCCCTGTGGAGAGCTTGACTCTTATTTTCAATAAAAAAATATTTGAATTTCAATGCCATATAATTATTCCCAGTTTACTTGGGTAAGATTATAACCAAGGCAAAATGAAATATGGTTTATATTCACATATTTGCAAAAATAGGTCAATTAGCTCTCTTGAATGGGCCATAATTCAAATGAGACCAAGTTCATAGGTTTCGCACAGGTGTAGATCAGCACTATACATAGAGACGTTCCTTCAGCAAAATCTCCCTGATCTTATCTAGTTATCTTCAAATGTGTCTTGAGGATCTGGTTGTAAGAGAGAATGGCACAGAAAAAAATCACATCTATGCATACAAAATTCAGAGGACACACTCTTGAGTAGGTGGCATGTTGAGAGAAATCGCCATGGTTTCTTATTCTTAGGTCAATTTTGGCTCATTGAAAGATACTAACTTCTGCCCATATATTAGATTTGTTAAAATATTCAGATCTCAATTTGAATGCTTAATTTGTACAGTTTTGAAGTTTTCAAAACTGTTGATTAATCCTAGATAAAATCAGTACTTTATGTCATTTTATGAAGGAAAATGGCACAGTCTTTAGATATGTGAGCCTCTGAAATAAATTTTTGAAAAGTTTCTGACTCCTGCTTTAGTGGTAGTGAAGATCATATAAGAACAGATATAATTAACTGGCTTAAATTAAATTCAAACTACACAGTGGTTTTTATTCCTTTTTGAAGTTCTATAGTGCATCTGAAACTCAAAATTCCCTGTCTTGATTAGACAGAACACTTAACGGAGTAAGATAGTAGATGGATAATCATTTTAAAAACTTCTTGTACTGCTTTCAGTGGAGATGTGAAAATCTTTGAGACTGCTTTTGTTTTTCTTTTGGTCTATGCAGCCAACAAGCCAGATACAATGTGCTGGTTCAGAAGAATTAAAGGTCAGTTTAAAATGCCAGCACCTATTGTTTACTGTAGAAAGAGACTGGCAAACCGTTTCAAACACTGAGCTATTTTGATAGGAAGGAAGGGGAGGGAGGGCCTTGCTGTATCATCATTTCAGAGAAATTTTGCAGTTGTTAATAATTTTCATATTCCAGTCTATTACAACTCTACTGCAGCAAAACATTAATTTTTTAAAGTTATTCAAAGTATGCTTTGATCAAAAATGACACTTCCAGGGAAGAAGAGTGACAGTTCCTGAAGGAGGATCAAATAAGATGTGGAGTTTGATGGAGCAAGAGGTGAGTCCTGCCTTTAATTGCATTCATAAGGATAGGCCCAGGACTGGGTTTTACATCATCATTGACATCCCCACAATCCCAGATGATTATATTTTTCTGTACAAGGAGTGAGAAATCCACTTCACAGTTAAACCAACAACTGGAAAACAGTTTTGTGAGTAAAATTAGGAACAACTCCTTTAAGCATTCACTTAGGACAGTGCAACATCGATTAAGTCTTTTAGCATGAACCAGAGCAATAGTCCAGTGAACTGGAAATTATCACACAGGAGATTTTACATGAAGTGGTAGCTTGCAAAAAAAACTGGTATAGACTGACATGGTCTTAAAGCTGTTCTTAGAGGTGATGCTGGAACCCTGGGGAGATGAAAGGGAGGCACATTGCAGAGATCTGGCCCTGGTGCTCCTATCCATTTACAACTGTGTATTTTATGTTCCACAGATCCTTGAATAATGTCTCATTCAATACCTATAATGTTGATGAGAAAAAATACAATGGATGGATCCTTAGCTGCTGTGTGTGTGGAGTTGGCACATTCTGCCCATGTCTGGGTAGGTTTTCTCCAGGTACTCCCACATCTCAAGTTCATGTGAAGTTCATTAATGTGTCTTAATTGTCCCAGTCTGAATGAGTATGTGCGTGTGTGTGTGTGTATGTGTATACCCTGTAATAGAAGACATCCTGACCAGGGTGGGTTCCTTCCTTGTATCCTGAGCTGC